ATTTATTTCTTGTTAACTAAATAAACTCTAATAAATAGCGTGTCAAGTTGATTGGATTTAAGTCATAGCTATTGCCTTCCTGACTTCAAATCATAGTTAACTTATTCGATGAAAAGAGTAATGTTAACAACAGTATATAATTTTTTAATTAATACTGTTAAAAAATTTTTTTTTAAAAAAAAAATTTAAGAAATTATTTTTTAAAAAAATTTATAAGAGGGAAGTTTATAAAAAAATTTAAATTATTTTTTTAAAATAAAGAAAAAAAGAAAATTTATCTTTTTTTAAAATTTGAATGAATTTTTATTTTTTTTTTATAAAAAAAAAAAAACTCACATTTTCATTATTCTAAAAAATTTGAATTTGTTTTATTTTTTCTTTAAAAAAAAAAAAAATAAAGAACTTTGATTTCAATTTAGAATTTATGAATTTTATTTCTTTAAAAAAAAAATTGGTTTACAAAAAAAAAGGTTGTCTTTATTTTTTTTAAAAGAAAAAAAAATTTAAGTTTTTAAGTCAATATTATTTTTTATTATAGTTAAAATCAAAGAAAAGCAAAGAAGATATTTAGGTATCACATATCTAATATAATTGTTTCCATTTTAAGATTTAAGACCATTCTATTTTAAACTTTTTGATTTAAATTTTTTTTTGATCCAAATTAGGTAATTTCTGTAATTCCGGCCAACTTTATATGGCCAAATTCGTATCAAATTAATAAAATACCCCGACTTCAATTTTATATAACTAATATTACAATTTATTTAGCAACAAAAGGGCTCTGTCATGTGAAAGATAATGATCTAACCTATCATTTAACAGAAAGTTTACTTAAAACAATCTATTGGTCACTTCTATTCTTTTGACGTTATGTAATCAAAAGTGGTGGCTTTAGACCGTTCGTACCATAGTATACAACGATTTTTAATTTCGTGTAAGGTTGTACATTATGGCTCAAAAAATGGAAGTTCAATTGCTCTTCGGGTTTTTCGTTATTAGTGAGAATGGCTTGTTTAGTATAACGGTGATTTCTCTTTTTTGGACTTTTAATTTTCTCGATCTTTAGAAACTTTAAAAAGCTTAATTCGCAAACTATAAAATTACATAATTAAAAAAATTTAATATTCATTTAATATTTGAATTATTAAAGCCTTTATTATAAAATTTATTATTAAAAATATAAAAGTATCAGAGCGAATTAACGAAAAATCACGTGCACGTGACAAATTGTCACGAGATCACTTTTGCCAAGAAAAAAATATTCGATCAAGGATCCAGTGAACTCTATTATACATGTTAAAAAGATAAAGTCTGATATAAGTAAACAATTAATTTTTCGCAACACAGGAAAAATGCCAATAGTTTATTTTACAGTCTAAGAGTACTTGTGATAGCTAGAAAGAAAATAGTGGTAAGCATTAAATCTACATTAATTAATATCGACCAAACCATAATGGACATTTCCTTTTCACACAGTGAGTTTTACTGACAAGCCTTTTAAATTCAGGTGTATCCAACGTTTTCCTTTGAATGATGATTTCAACTCTAACGGAACTAAGCCTGGATTTTGGAGTTTATCAATGAAGACATCATAAGACTTCATTAAAATATCTCGTATATTTAATAGAATATGTAATTCGTCTATAAAAGTAAATAAGCCCTTTACTGTTTCGGGTATAGAAATTTGAGTAATATGATTCATTGTATATAATCCTTCGCCATTTAAATCAAGCACATAGAAATCCAATTTGTATGCAATACATTGAAATCCTAATATTTTTATCTCAGCTCCTTGTAAAATTGCCGAGTCAATACAATCTTTCATGAATATGCCTATCCTGATTAGATCAAGACAATTTTTATAAACGTTGTTTTTTTCCGATGGTCCAGTAACTTCGCCAACATAAATCACATTTTCGCACGAGACTGATAATTAAGTGATACTACGAAGTCTGGCTGTTTCGTTCTTGATCCATCGAATTTCCTTATTTTACTTTCTGCAAGGGCCGTGTTTGGCCATTGTACTAGATATTTATCAGGGTCATGAAATGCTTCCTTCATAATTCCATTTAAAAAGTTTGTAATTAAAGTTATTCGCTTGGTTCATTCCGGATCTTATCAAATGGCAAAGATCTTATCAAGTCTATCATTAAAATCCCGAAATTGTCTCTTAATTCACTTCTATTTGCAATGTTCTTACATAAGAAATCAATTGCACTACCACGCGAATCTCTTAAACACGTTTTGATTGCATTTCTGTATATGTTCTCAATTTCCGTATCCAATGTTATGGATAACGTTGGCGCATATTCGTGGTAAATCGATTCAAGTATTTTTAAACCAAATACCTCTACCATTTTTGTCGAATAATAATTTGGGATCAAAACAAGTATAGATGACAATGATAAGATTTCGTGAGTATGTGACTCAACATACAAGCCTTTGCTGTTAGCGTGCAATATGGCTTCGTCAATATAAGTTCTAAATTTTTCTGATATTAACGTCATTTACAGTAGGTCAAATTCTGAACTCTTTGATGATGAAAATCTTGGAGAAACATTGGTAATAATAACCGTTTTCATCTTCAGTATCTTCAGTAAAAGGATCATCATGAGAATGTGGTGTCGGAGATGTATATCTACTGTCTTGAACTTCATAACATGAATCAGAATTAACATACGGACCATCACTTGATCCTGAATCATGTTCATACTCCTGGCAATTAAAAATAAAAAAAAAAATGAGCAATCCATCAAAATAAGAAATTTTGCTGGACTATAATATGGAAATATAATGCTTTGTTTCTGGAGTTTGTGGCTCCACATTATCGACTTGAAGACATTGGCGTTTATGCGAAACATCAAGGCCAAGATCCGTATTTTCCAAACAGTTCACAAATTTATTTCGCACAATCATTTCTTGTTTCGTAATCTCCTCCAGTATAGTCTGCTCTCGTTCAAATGTCGAGGACACAACATTGGTGATATGTTTTTCCTGAAAAAACAAACAGAAATATATTAAGGATTATAATGCCATGTGCATCTTTATAATACTTCATACCACTACAGCCGTGCGTTCAGCAGCTTCAGTAAATTTTCGTTTTTGTGATGATTCCAAAACTCATTAATTAACTGCGATTTCTTTTCGTTCTATGAAATTACGTGGTATTAGTAATAGCTCAAAAAGAAAACAAATAGTACTTTTTAGGAAGTTTCAGTGATAAGACTAGAGTCAGGACGGAACCACCACGAGCCGTAGATCATCACTTCCCGATCGTAGTCAGGAAGTGTGGGTGATTGAACGCAGGTCGGACCCCATCCAAAGAACTATTGTTCCTTAGACCCGTCCACTGACAACCAGAAAGAATAATACAGAACGTCCACTGACGGCCAGTATGAAAAAATCACAGACAGGGTGGAACCACCACGAGCCGTAGATCATCACTTCCCGATCGTAGTCAGGAAGTGTGGGTGGTTGAACGCAGGTCGGACCCCATCCAAAGGATTATTGCCTTTAGACCCACCCACTGCCAAACAAAAATAAAAAATTATTTAACCTGAAAAGAGACAAGCACATTTCCTGCCTTCTTTATCATAGTTTTCTTTGCTTGTTTCGAATTCAATATATTTGATAGATTTCGAGTATACCGGGCATGTTCTTTTTTTCTGTCTGGCTGGAAATCAATGCTATTTTGGCGATATAATAGGTAATCTAACAAGGACCACTCGTTATTTATAGTGAAGTAAACATCTATTTCTAGCGGGAAGAAATAACATTACTGAGGGTAGAAAAATACAAAACACAAAAACACGAGTATAAAACTTACCTTGCTCTGTTTCGGCTAACGTGGCTCCAGTTGAGGTAGTTGGTTCTGACATGTTTTAAAACAAAATGGAAAACTATAAGTTTCAATGGAAGTTTGTGACGCAAAAGTATCAATCTTGATAGATTTTCGGTATGCTTCTTGATAGATATCGTTGAGAAACCGAAGTGTGGTATATTTCTTGATAGATTTTCGTTACTATATTTTAATCACGAGTTGATACTTTTACAATTTTTTTAAAAAAAAATTTTTTTCGTAGTCCAAAAGACGCGAAATTACTTTTTTAAAAATTTTTATAAGCTTCTTGTTTATAATATAGTTATATATTTTTTATATTTTTGCAGAAAAACGCGTCAAATACAATATGAAATTTTTTTTTTGTAAAATTATACTTTGTACAAAACTATTTTAACGTGTTTTATGTAAATAAAAAAAAAGAAAAAAATTGAGAGGAAACAAAAAAAGTAAAAAATTTAGTTGCGTCTCAATTATCGATTTGTTGATCACTTACCAAAAATATTTTTTGTATTACATTATTTTTATTTTTAAAATGATTAACATGATGCATTAAATGGAGAATAAGTTTATTAGAAAAATCTATTTTATTGGTTAAATTTAAATTTAGATTTCCTTTCTTTTACTTATCTATATTTAATTACAAAATATTAATATATATACAGTAAATAAAATCTATTTGTGGAATTTACAGAGCACAATCTGATTTTGATTTTCGTAAATTGCACGTGATTCTGATTTGCACATTGCACGATCAACATTTTTTAAATTCTACACAAATTGCGTAAATAGTACAAATGTACAATTTTATTTCTATTAATTCTGTAAATATCTTTAATTAGACAATTAATCCTGCATACTATAAATTAATATAGTTAAAGGTAAAATGTTAAATGATAAAGAAACAAAGAAATTTAATTTATTTCTTTATTCTAACTTTTGTTCAATTTCTCAAATAATAAAAACTATATTTAATAATGAAAAGATATTTTTAAAATACAAAATAACACAATAGAAAAGCATAAAGAAAGTGGTGATATTAAACCATCTGGGATTCTTCTATATATAAAAAACTAAAAAAACTCTAAATAAAAAAATATAAAGAAGAACGAAATGATTGAAATTCAAAATAGCTACAAATATATCTATATTTAATAAGAAGAAAAGATAAAGAAGAAAAATCTTTTATGTATTGTATTTGATGTAAAAAGTGAAAAGTGAGCAATATTTTTATAAAAAATTGCAATAAATTCAAAAAAAATTATCTTGATAATCATGTAAAAATTGAGTTGTATGCTTCTATTTCAAAATTAAGAAATAGTATGAATTAACTAAATATAATTACTAGTTTTGTAATACAGTTAGGAATAGAAAAATTAAAAATAATTACCTTAATGAAAAATGCATATTTTTATTCAAAAAAAAATATTACACTTAATAACAGACCCCGCCAAAAGTCTTCAGACATTTTTTGGCTCAATATAAAACTTGGAATTTTTAAATTTAATTAAAAAATATTTATTAATATATTTATTAAAGTACAATATGCTACACATTTAATAATAAATAATAATACTTGGTCAGACTTCAATTTGCTTCAATCACAGCTCGAATTCGCTGCGGCATACTATTAATTAAATTTTCAATATTTTGTATCAAAATTTATTTTTATGTCCTTATAACATGTTGATCAAGTTGAACAAGGTTGAAAGGCAATTTTTTTCTTTTACAGATGCTCTTCTTAACTTCAGCCTATAGATTCTCAATAGATAGTTATGATAATAGTTTGATAATAATTATCACGTTAACAGTAAAAAATTATGCTACTGTGTTATTCTATTGTTAATTCTTTGAACATTTTCGTTGTTTTAAAAAGATAAAATTTTATTTAGATCTAAAATCAAAATAAACAAACTAAACATATATTTATTTAGTTTGATTTAAGTAAACAATGGCTAAAACATTATATAGCTGCAATTTTCTACAGTTACATGATATAATTAATATGAAAAACTCTAAAAGATAACGTTTAGAAACTTTTAGCAGAGGTCTATATATCCTGAACTTAATGATCTTGTTAAGTATAAGATAAACAATTATGATAAAATTAATTATCAAACACCATCTATGATAATTTTACCACCTCCATTATATTCACAAATATTATCTTCAACTTCTACTTCTTTCAAATATGTTTCATACAAAAATCCTATGGCAGAATATAAGTTTATTGAATCAATTTCTTATATAATTGAGTGTCAAGTCATAAAAGAAATTAAAAAAGTATTGGATAGAGTATTTTTTTAGATGAAAGTACTATAATTCAATAAACATTTGGCAATAATAAGCAAATACATAGTTAGAAATAAGCTAGTTTTGTGATACCTTGAGATGATAAATTTAGAAAAATACAATACAAATTTAATTATATGAGATATTAGAATATTTTTAAGTGCAAAAGATATATCATTAAAGTCTTTATATCATATAAAAACTGATAGAGCATCTGTAATAATAGGTAAATTTTTATAATTTATTTTTTATTTATTTATTTTATTTTATTTATTTTGTATTTATTTAATTTTTTTTTTTAGAAAAAAATCTCAGAGTGATCATACAACTAAAAAATAAAAATTCATTTATAACTGCAATTCATTACATAACACATCAGTTTATACTTGTTAAAAAAAATTCAGCAAAAAATGTATTATACTTTAAGGAATATGAATCTACTTTAAAAAAATTATACAGTTATTTTAGTAAATCTTATAATCAGTTGAAAAATTTGTGAATGATCCAAGTAGATGATGATGATGATCTTGAACTTGTCATATTAAAATTAGTTTTAACGCGATAACTATTATTATTATAAATAGTATCTAATTTACATCAAACTTTAAATTTTATCATATCTGCTTTACAAACAGATATTCTTCTTGATAAAGATGGAGCTGAATTAATAAAAAAATTATTAAAAGAATTAAATCCTAATTTTATTTTAGCAATAAAATTTTTAGCTAACTTTTTTGATATTTTACAATAATTAATTAAAGTATTTCAAGAGGATTTTATTACATTATCAGATATGCATTATCATTTAAATTTCACAATTCTTGCAATTCAAACAATATTTATCAGGAATGATAATACATCACCAACATATGACAAAAATTTGCTTGAATATATTGAAAATAATCACTTATCATTAGATTTAATTTCAGATTCTTTCTCACAATTTTCTTTATCTATAATTCAGAATATTAAAAAAAGATTTTCAAATTCAGAATTTTATTATACAATGCAAATTTTTGATGCATAACAATTACCCTTAACTCAAATTTCAATTAATTAGTATAGTGAAAAGGAGATTGAAATGATTGGAAAATTTTATGATAGCCAAAAGGTTGACAAGTATAATAATGTTTATGAACTGATAATTGATAAAAAAGAATTAGAAATAAAATGGATAGTTGTATAACAATATTTAACTAATTTTAAAAAGTTTAAATTCATTGAACAATGGTTTAAAATCTTTTTTAACAATAAACTTTTCTTCTTTATATCCTAATACTTTAAAAATAATTTATATTATTTTAATAATTTTACTTTTTAATACTTTAGTGAAGAGAGTTTTGTCACGTTAAAATTTAATTAAAAGCAAGTTATAGAATAAGATAAAATTGAAAACATTTCATTTTAATCTAAATATTTTAATTATCAGTCTATTATTAAATTCATCTGATTTTAAAGCAGCATATAATCATTGGACACAATTACCTCAAAGTTTAAATGTTTAAATTAATTATTTAGATTTAGTATTTAGTAATTTGAATAATTATGAAATAAATACATTAGTTTGAGTAAATAATAATTAATAATAAAATTTTTGTTTATTTATTTTTTTTTAATAAAATTTTATGCAAATTATATTGAAAAATATTTGTAAAATTTGCACAACTCAATTTTGATTTCTGCAAGTTACATGTGACTTTAATTTATGCATTATGCAATAAGCTTTGACTAGAATTTTATT